GCTCTCTCTCTCTCACTCACTCACTCACTCACTCACTCACTTGATAATAGTTTATTGAATGAATTATTGAACGAATTTAATGATTCATTAGATATATTAGTGTAGAGTTGAATACTGGAGGCTGTGTTTGGGTCGCATCTCAACAGAATTCTGGGCTGAATATTGAGTCGAAATGCAATTGCATTAACTGTGGACTGCGAGAGAGAGTGTGAGAGAGAGAGAGTGAGAGAGAGAGAGAGAGAGAGAGATTTTACTGTGTTATAAGACTTAATAAAGTTTTTGTTTTAAAGTATGATACTATACTTTAATAATTATTATAATACTATATAAAGAATAATAAGTTTTCATTAAAGTATAAAATTAACTTATAAATTAATATAATATCAAAACTAAATATTTACTACAAAAATTATATAAAATAAATGGTTTATACAATAGAGTGATTTGCACAATTTAGACATATTCACAAACTTATCCTAAATTATGAATAATTTTATTCTAGTTATGATTATCAATGATTACTAATTAATGGCTACTATTGGTAATATTAAAATTAAAATTACAAAGCCAATTTATACAATTTATAATTTAATTATATTAATAATTATATCGATCAATAAAATCACATTAACAAATAATTTGGATTTATATAAAATAAACAATTTTCAAACGACTACAGAATTTCAATGAATTCTCAACAATCACAGTATTATTATGTGAATGCATGCATTGGGGGCGCAAAGAGCATGTGGTGAACGTTGTCTACGAGTGGTGTTTGTGAGTGTATTTCGTGGACAACAGTACAACACATACTGTAATACAGTGTCTATTAGTTGGCTAAACGTCAGCACAATTTGTGGATTCACTAATCAGTCACTAATAATTCACGAAGAAGTCAACGGATCAGCCATGGGTTTAACGATATCGAGTCTATTCACGCGAATGTTTGGCAAAAAACAGGTGAGAATATTGATGGTAGGGTTGGACGCTGCGGGCAAGACAACCATCCTCTATAAGCTCAAGTTGGGAGAGATCGTGACCACCATTCCCACCATCGGTATGACCACCACTCCATCCACGCCCTCCACTGCACCACTCACTCACTCACTCATTCACGCCCTCCACTCATAGGTTTCAATGTGGAGACCGTTGAATACAAGAACATCTCGTTCACGGTGTGGGACGTCGGCGGACAGGACAAGATCCGCCCTCTTTGGAGGCATTACTTCCAGAACACTCAGGGATTGATATTCGTTGTCGACTCCAACGACAGGGAACGGGTGGGAGAGGCCCGCGAAGAGCTCATGCGGATGTTGGCTGAGGACGAGCTCAGAGATGCCGTTCTCCTCATCTTCGCCAACAAACAGGTGTCCATCGCTTCGTCGACTCAATACTCGCCGTTTCACTCATTGATTGTCTGTCTATTGAATAGGATTTGCCGAATGCCATGAATGCGGCCGAAATCACCGACAAGTTGGGTCTGCACTCCCTGCGCAACAGGAACTGGTACATCCAGGCTACCTGTGCCACCTCTGGCAATGGCCTCTACGAAGGACTCGATTGGCTCTCAAATCAACTCAAAAATCAATAGATTTTGTGCACATTTTTTACATTTATTTATCTATTTTTAAGTGATTTTGAAAATACGTTTAGTTTAAACCGAAACCTTAGACCCAAACTCGTCATCACATTATGTGAATTGGATTTATTGTATGATTATTAATGAATTGGTATTTAAATAAAAACATATTCTTTAATATATTTAAATTGATTCACAAAATACTTAAAAATACAAACGAAAAGACAAATTACGCGAAAATAAATACTTTAATAACAAGTGAGTTGTGAAGCAACTGAGGGCTGAGTATGGGGTGAGTGTCAGGTCTTGGCGGTGAGTGTCAGGTCTTGGCAGTGATGGGAAGATAAAGTTTGAACTCCGGCGGCAACTCATCCTCACTGTAGAGCCGGTCGGCGAAGTAGACGCGTCTGAGCCGACAGTTGGCATTAATGGTGAGCCTCTGTGTCTCGACATAACTGGTGCCATAGGCTCTTCGCGTGAAGTCGGCCAGATTGAAGCCAATCTGATTCCAGCCCTCGTCTAACCTCAGAGGCATTGTGCAGATGAAGTGTTTGACGCGAGTTTGGCTCTGATAGCTGGACGCACGGAACCGACGACGGATCTGCTTGTCGTCTATGATCTCCACTTCAAACGAGAAGTATTTCTTCATATTCTTGACGATAATGACGAGAAATGGGAGTTTAATGCCGAGACTGGCCCTCGGCTGCGACGGACACGTGATGAAAGTGGTCGACACGTTGGCGCCACTGATCTCTATCACCAAACTCTGGATCTCATTGTCTGTAATGCGTTTAATGGACCCGTTCTTCACCTTCTTGTCCCATATCTGCAGAGGATTGGATCCAATGGAGTACAGGACTGACAGGAATCCGCTCTGAAATGTATTTTTAAACATTTGATTGTTTTGTGGATTCAAATGCAATTCAATTCATACGACAATTGCATTGAATTTAATGACAAATTGAAACACTTTTTGTTTACATTTGACACAATTTCTGAGTTTCTATGGTTACCTATGCGTGCTATGAGTATGCAAATCATATGCCAACCTATGTCCATGTCCTAGCTCATTAGTTTTAACAATTACATCACATTAATACAGTCTGTTTATTGCATGTCATACAAAGTAATATTTATAGTTAATTGACTTCATCGTTAAACAACCTTGGTCACATATACACTAGTTACGAGGTTACTGTTATAGTACGATATAATTACATACAGAATATTCCACAGAATATTCATTCATTTGAATATAACTTAAGGCAATGCATGAGAATTTGTGAGTCAATTAAATATTTTATTAATTCATTAAAATAAGTCTATTATAACATTAATCAAAAATATAACTATTTATACAATAAAACATTGTAATTGAAATAAAAGTTAACTTAGAGTACAATAACCGGCATTTGATAATCTCAACAAAATAGCTAAATATACTGTATTTACGGTATTCATTAATAGTTTAGTTAATTGAGTCCAAAATCAATTTCCATTCGTTATATTAAATTCATTTGTGATAAAAGAGACCACATTTTGTGGTTCAATGAGATGCACGTGATGTTGACCCTCCACTTCGATCAGTTTAAATGTCTTACACTTGCGTTCATACAATTGAATGAACTTTTGGTTCACTTCTTGGGGGTCGAGTTGAATACCATTCTTGGCTTTAATGATAATGAGTTCGCATTCAATATTTTGCAAATAATTAAGAAGAGCCTCACTATCCATACGCTGGAAGAGAACCGCTTTAATCCGATTATCGCGAGTAAAATACTCTCCCTTTCCATCGGAAGACACTTTTGCCCCTCTTTTGAGCAGACATTCGGCCGCCTCTTCGGTGAGTGAGCCGTATATGGCGTGAGCGCTGATCATCTTCTCCACAGTTGTCTTGTGATCATAAACGGGAGGAATACTATTCTTGTGCTCTAATGTGAGGAATGCATTGATGCCATCGGACGTCCGTTTGGCCAACTCTTCAGCCGGAAAGCTGAGGGGTTTTATCATATCTATTGCTATCACTTTTGTCACAGTCTTCGGGTAAAGACACGAATAGAACATTCCAATGGCCGCTCCCATTGAATGGCCTAATATCGTGAACTTTGTCCAATTCATGTGATCCACAACTCGTTTCACTTCCATTAGGAATACTAAGTCATGATATGGACAGCCGGGTGGCAGGTGTGAGGACAGGCCGTGTCCTGGAAGGTCTACCGCTGAGGGATTACGGAATGACACGATTTTTATATAAAACAATTAAATGATTGAGACATTGAAGACATTGAAGACATACCCAACACATAGACAGAGTCGGGCAGCAGAGGAATGAGTGTATCAAAGCTGCCGGCGTTGTCTTGCCATCCATGAAGGGCTATGTATTAAACCATTTGATTGTTATATTATATCAATTCATTCAATAATTAATATAATAGATCACCTAATATCTGGTGGGAATGGGTCGAAGCACTTCCCCACGCCTTGGCCTTAATAGACCCGTACGGCACCGGTATCTCCATTTCGATGAACTCTTTCGGCATTTTTGGTTTTGTTTAATTGACTTGAGCTTTGAAACTATGAATTGAGTGTAAAATGAAATCTCAAGAAAATTAAAATCTTTATTATAGAGAATAGAAAAACTGGTAAAACCTTTGCACCAATGGATTGAAATAAATATTAAATAACGTAATAATAGAAAATCGTTTATAAGGAGGAAGTTGTCTACAATTAAACCGATTTTAAAATAGAAATTGTATTTAATGATAAGTTAAAAATTAGTTAACACTTCCTTGAATCATTAGTTTTAATTAGTTTCAAATTAGCTGTATTTGAATATATAGTACTTTTCAATGAAATTCTTGAATACGTCAAACAAATTCATCATTTTATCCTATTTTGACAATAATATAGTTTTTGAATTTAGTGTCAATTCATAAGAATCTGAATATAAATGACAAAAGTATTGAAAATGAATACAATTCACATGACTTTCACTATAATATGACAAATATATGACACAAACACATCCATACCTGAAGTTGGGTGTGATTTGAGGGCAAATCAAATGGATTTGAATTGAATTGATGTAATAGTTTAGTGAAACTAATGACACAATGAAGTCAAATAACGCCAATGAAAGTGATGTGAAGTCATGTCAAACCTATGATTTGTACTCAAATGCACTGAATATGTGTGAAATATTCAGTACTATTGCAACTGCAGTGCACTATAGCTGTAGTCATGATATGACAAACATGTGATGCATTCTAGAGAGCGCTTCATTCACGCTATGCTTTGCCTATCATTTCATTTGACAACAAATATGTGCACAAAGTATGATGTAATCAATGCATGCATTCAATCAGTCACTCAGTCATTGCATTAGTTATCCATTGGTTTCACTTTTAATTGTCTTTTATATTACTCTGTGTTTGTGTTCACCAATACTTAGCACTCAATTCATTCACAAATTACCGATTATTGTCATCGATTCATACGATAATCCCATCTCTCAATCAAACGGCATTTCAAACGCATTCAAAGGTTTTATTATTTTATAAATTAATACTTGTTTTGCATTGCAATTGTAATTACAGTATAACGTGTAATATTCATGTTAAACTAATTCATTTGATTAAATGGTTTAAATATAATGAATACAAACAAAACTGCGGCTCATAAACTGTAATTACTATCAAATTACATACAAGTTGTATTTGAATACATGTATAGTTTGGGATATTTTCTCATTATTAGTGTAAAAACCTAACCTTGTTCAAAATTTTCCTCATAAATATATTGGAAAATTTTTTAAATTATTGGTAATTACAAAAAATGTAAAAATAATTTTGTAAAACTATTGTGGGTTTTATTGTCTGAAATAATAATCACTTTATTGTTACAGTTTTAAATATTTCATACAATTTATAAACTAATTTGACAACTTTTGAAACTTAATACTGTATACGGTATATTTAATTTACTTATGAAAACTATTAATTAAAATGGTATTATAATTAATAACTCCTTTAAATGACTGAATTGCTATAAATAGTGTGAAATGATATAAAACGACATTACCTTACAATTGGATGTTAATTGTCTAATCGGACAATAAACGTGTGGTTCAGTCGACTATCGAAATCATTTGCCGACTATTTGTTTGTTTTTTAACTAAAAATAAATTTTCTAAAAACAAGTTCACAGAGAAAACCCGATATAACGGTTACAATGAGTGGATGAATGCCACGCATTTCGCTCTCATTTCTTGTCATTTACTTCATATGAATTGACTTTTTATAATAAGTTTTTCAATTCAAAGTCATCTCAAATACAATACACATCTCATAATCTAATGTCTGATCAAATGTATCCATATAACTACTTATTTTTCTTATAATTTTGAGCCAATCTGTAAGTATTATAAAACTAGAATTTTTTTAAATGTAACATTTTAAATGTTAAAATGTTATTTGTTTATCTATCAAGTATTTAACCGTAAGTACAAATGTTTTGTAAATTCTCAATGACATGTTTATCTGTAGTTTGATAGGTATAACATGACTTTAATTTAAGTCAATAACAATATTTTTAATTCTCAAAGCGAATGAAAATTTATATTTTTGCAATAAGTAACATTTCAAATGTTATGTATTTTACAGTTTTACAAATTATCTAAATCTCCATCACATAATCTGAAATTAATTTTATATTTCAATATTCTTACGAGTTAGCAAGATTGTTAACTGTATGCTATTAATAAATAGAATAACTCATTATTGATTACCATTTGGTTTAATATAAAATGATTGATCTGTGTATAGCAAAAAATATTCTGTATTAAATTTAGTTTATCTTAACTGTGATTATAATCTAACATAAATATTTTTAGATAATTCTCATTGCCTTTTAATTTATGTGATAAACAAGTGACGAAATACTGGTCAAAGTCTTCTGAATTTTTTGTTTGAATTTTCGACAATGAATTTACTGAAATTAATATCAATATTTGATTGTTTATATTGAAAAAACACAAGATTTAATTCATTATACTGTAATCTCATTTTATGGTTGACAATTTGAGTACATTTAAAAATGTTTTCATTTACTAATTAAGATTTTGTCATTTACTCGAATAGTATGTCATTGGGTTTATTGACATTTCGGTCGTTCATTAGAAGTCCGATTATAGCAAACAATTCAAACAAATTGTTGAAATCTCTACGAAGGCATTACTCTCAGGAAATATCACAAAAAGCAGACAATAAATCCAATTTAATGGAACCAAAAGAATTGAGATTTCCATTACCTTATGGACACTTAGCTGCTAAGGAATGGGGTAACCCTAATGGACTACCAGTCCTAGCAGTGCACGGATGGTATGATTTGTTGCAAATATTCTTTAATGACTTTATTTATAAAATGTCAAAATTATAGGTTAGATAATAGCGGTTCATTTGATCCATTGATTCCACACATTCTCAAACCACACGATTTACATGTTGTAGCCATTGATGAGCCGGGAGTGGGCTTATCGTCCCATAAACCTCCCGGTTCTGAATACGGGCGCTGGCATACTGTACTCGAAATGAAACGAGTGATCGACCACTTGAAGTGGAAAAAGTGTACTGTTATTGGACACTCACAAGGTTTCTATTAAGTCAAATAAAGCATTTTGTTGTCTGTTTGTTATCTAATTGATTGACATGTCATACATAGGTGGACACTATGCACTGTTATTTGGTGCCAGTTATCCCGATTTGGTGGACCGTGTTATCACTATTGATATATTCAAACCGCTCACATATAGAGGCGACAAATGGGCCAAAAAAGTATCGAAAATCACTGAAATTCATATGAAATACGAGAACTTTCTGAATGAGGATCCGTCGAGAGATAGCACAGCGCCGGTATATTCGGAAAGGGATGCACTGAAGCGTATGATGGAAGCGCACGGCAACTCTCTCAATGAGGAGAGCGCCCGTATTCTCATGAAAAGGGGCACCAAAAAGCAGAAGTGGGGCCTCAGCTTCAGTAGAGACATCCGTCTGAAGGTGCCATCACTGGACCCGCCGCCCACTGACGACCAAATGACTAAATTCATGGCTCATCTCAACTGTGATTTGATGATAATTATGGCCAATCAGACGCCGTATCACATTCCCGACGATATCAAACACATGTATTACGATATTTACCGAAACCATTGTCGCTATTTTGAAAATGTCAATCTCGACGGCACTCACCATTTGCATATGAATGACCCGATTCCTGTCGCCAATCACATCAACCAATTTATTTCCCAATCATTAGCCCTTCAACTCACACCTAAACTGTAGTCATTTGTTATAATATTTTACTATTTAATATTGTATTTTGATTAAAAATTTGACATTTTATCAACTAAATTCATTGATTGTATTTTGATACTGTATATTGCAATTTTAGGACGAATTAAATTTTGTTAAACTATATTTCTTATTTTGTTCATTTTTACTCAAACCATTTACTGTGCCGTTATATTTTCATTAATCAAAATATACCGGTATAATAATACTGTATCGACAAATACATTAATTTAAATTTGATGCCGGTAATAGGAAATTTTTATTATTATCTTTTTCATACGGTAATTTTTATTTATAAATTATCATTTATCAACATATCTATACTATATTTATTTAAAGTGATTTTTATTCAAGAATTTACAGTGAAAGCATAAATTCTATATAATTTGGTTAAATCTATGAAATATATGATACAGTATATTTTGCAAATATTTGTACCGGTACATTTATTATGCTTTTCAAATACAGTATCGTAATTTTAGAATTATCTCAAAAGCCAACTGTTAGAAAATTTTGTATCTGTAATACACCTGTACTGTACTTTACTTTAAATAATATATCCGATAAGTAAGAATTTGTTCATATTCCGAATTCATTTCATTGAATTTAGTGTTAAACCTTCAAACCTAATCATATGATATCAAATCTATAGCATATTCACTGTATGCTATGTTGAATTTAATAATTCTTTTGAAACGCTGTGTAAATAAAACTATAATATTTGATAAATTCTTAGAATTCCTAAAATAGATTCCTAGAAATCGATTCTTTTATATGAATTTCCTTTTATATATTTAAGTGAATTCCTAAAATTTTCTAAATATATAAGTAAATTAAATGTAACTGTAAGTCAAAAAATTTTTATTAAAACAGTATACCTTTACAAAAATAACTTTAAATGTTTCTAAAATTAGAGCCTTGTTAAGTGATTAGGGGTGTAAAAGGTTTTTTCCAAACATAGTATAAAAGATGTGTATAAACCTTTTTAAACATCACATATTGCTAAAAATAAGCACAATTAACACATTTACTAAAATATTTAGTAAACATAAGTTTGTTGAAAGTAAAGTTCTAAAACTAATAATTTTTCAATTCAATAGTTTTTTACATAAAATATGAATTTAGAAAATTTTATTACAAATTAAATTGTATTACAGTTAAAATGATTAATAAATTATAAAAAAATTAATTTATTGATGATAAAATTATTTCAACATTGACTCAATTCAGAGCAATTCACCATTTATATAAAAATATAATATTATTAAATTAGAAGGGTATTACCCTGACAAGTTATCAACTGTAATGTGTATGCAATGTTAGTCTTACTTATTAGTTTATGGGGAAATTATAAATCCCAAACTTTAGTTAAATTTTGTAATTAAAATGTATGACAAATAAAATAGTGTGCATTGATTTGGTTGTTAGTCTAATAATGAAGTTGATGTCAATTAGTGAGCAATGAGTGTAAAACACACAGAAAGCACTAATTAGGCCATAAATGCCACCAAATTTGCAAAGCCTTTCACTACACTCAAGACCAATAAAATGTTTGCAAATTTAAATTTACAGCACTTTTCGCTGCAACTGTCATCCAATTCAATACACGACACCGTATTTAATATAGCCTTATATATAACTCATGTGTTTGTCTCAAATAAGCACATCACACAAACATATTAGCATGGTCTGGGGTAAATAAATAAATGTGAGCCATATTTAGCAAAATGAACAAATAATGATAATTAGAAAACGAAATAAATATAGCGATAGTAATAACGAGTGTAGACTGTAGCTCAGGGTATCGTAGATGGAGTTGTGTTGTATTGACTTTCAGGTAAACCATTCGCAAATGCAAATCGTTGTGATCCTTGAAGTGAGTGATTATCACAAAACAAATTACAGGAGAAACACACGAAATAAGAAATAAATACAACATTTCTTTCATTCATGTCTTGTGGTTGTCTTCACTGTCCATTCAAACACTTCTCAGATGTTTGTCATTAAACACATAAACCATTCATTGCTGTGACCTATCATTCAATTCAATGAATATATCATTAATAATGCATTCATTGGTCAATACAAGTGACGCTCAAAATAGTGGTTTGCTTTCAATTGCTGTCAATTAGTGACCATTTGGTTGACACGTGAAGCCATTGTATGGTAATAATCAGATGGAAGTGAATGTGGGTCTTCGTGTGGTTCGTGGGCCCGACTGGAAGTGGTCTAACCAGGGTATGTAGCCATTGCACTGATACGTGTCCACTACGTTGCCATTGCTGATGTGCTTGATTACTGATTGATCAGATGATGGTGAGGGTCACTGCGGGACTGTCGTAGAGGTGGGTCGACCCGGATCTACGACCACTCCCGACAAGACAGTTGTGGTTCAGTGGGACTCTGGTTCGCGCACTAACTATAGGATTGGTTACCAAAATGCATACGATTTGCGGGTCTTAGACA